CGCCCCTAGCGGCGGGTCTTAAAATGTATCTCAACGAAACTTTTACAACACTCCGATTGTCCGATCTTACCGTGTGGATCAAGGTAAAATTATAAGAATAATATATATATATATATATATTCGTTTTTCGTTTAATATTAATTTAATTTATTTATTCTTCTCAGCATTTCCAAAGTTGGCCAAAGAAATATCCCCTATGCGTTCACGCCGAGGGTCAAACAACTGCAGCGATTCTCTTGCTGGCTGGGTTGCATAATAGGCCTATTCACGTCTGCCATGTAGCGCGAAAGGAAGAGATTCAAATAATACGCGCGGCTAAGGAGAAAGTATGCTTATTACGTTGTCATTATGCATTTACAAATGATCCAATCTCTATTTCTATCTTTATTAGGATAATGATTTCACATTTTGTATAATATCACATTGTATATCATTTTGTATATTTGATTGGCAGGGAATGGCTGTCACTTGCGAAGTGTGTCCGCATCACTTGTTCCTGTGCGTGGATGATCTTGAACGGATAGGACCTGGCCGAGGCCAAGTGAGGCCATTGTTAGGAACCAAGGAGGATCAACAAGCTCTTTGGAATAATTTAAATATAATCGATTGCTTCGCTACGGATCATGGTTAGTTTTATTCTACTTCCTCTTTCAAACTTAATTTAAATAAAAATAAAAATACGTGTCTTTGTTGTTTCAAGCACCCCACACGTTGCAAGAAAAATCGAGCGAGAAACCACCACCTGGATTCCCCGGCCTCGAAACTATGCTCCCACTTTTGTTGACTGCGGTTCACGAAGGAAAATTAACGATAGAAGTAATTATAATATACTTATGAAATTAACGATAATTTAAGATCCCGATCGAGATATCGTGTAATATCGTATAAAAACATTCCTTTTCGATATATCATTGTGGTGAGATAATTGATTCGTATCTTGTTCGACTAGATTTTTTTTTTATCAGCATTTTGAGCATAGAAAGAAATTTTACTTCTTTTCTTTTTTTTTCTCTCTGTCTCTCTCTTCTTCTAGGACATTATAGACAAACTCTACAGAAATCCGAAAAAGATCTTTAACGTGCCAGATCAATCAAACACCTACATCGAAGTGGATCTCGACGACGAGTGGACGATTCCGGAAGCGATGCCTTTCAGCAAATCAAAGTGGACGCCTTTCGCCGGAATGAAAGTTCGTGGCTCCGTTCATCGTGTAGTGCTTAGAGGAGAAGTTGCCTACGTTGAGGGGCAAGTTCTGGTGAATCCTGGCTTTGGCCAAGATATTAGAGAGATTCAATCGAAAATGAAAGTTCAAACAATTGTAAACGCGCCTGTCATTGACGTAACCACTAGTCGACCAAACTCGGCATTGGATGGCCTTTTGTCGCCAAACTACGAAAAGTACAACAATTATATCGAGCGGATAACGGATATGTCGGAAGAAGATCAAAACGGTATGAAAATCTATTTCCGATCGAGAAAACACGAGCCATTTTTTATTAAAATAACGGTTTTAAATAATAAAATATTAATAATAATTAATAATATTAATAATAAAATAACGATTTTATTCATCTTTCCAGAATCGTACGCGCATCTGTTGCAAACAGTGGCGCACAAATCGAACGTTCACTTCGCCTTGGATGTAGATACGCGCGAACATTCGAAACTTTTAACAAGTCAACAACGCACGATCTCACCCCTTCCCATTAGCAATGCGACAAAACACAAAAGCGACAGCAATCCCAATCTTCTGTTGACCTCGGTCCCACCAATCACGCCGGTCCACATTTGTCACAATCTAGTCGGACATAACATTTTGACAGTGGATATTTTCAACAAAGACATGTTAAAAGATATATTTAACCTTGCGGAAATTCTTCGCAGCGCTGTTAGAAAGGAACGACTGTTGGATCATATTTTACGGGTAAGAACGTATATTCCATTTTCACGATTAATTTCAATTTTCAATATCGATTTTGCGCATGTGTAGGGAAAGTTGCTGGCGACGATCTTTTACGAGGTTAGCACGAGAACGTCTTGCAGTTTTGCGGCTGCCATGCAACGACTTGGAGGAAGTGTGATATACATGGACGGTACAACATCGTCGGTAAAAAAGGGAGAAACTTTGGAAGGTTTGCGACATTATAAAATAAATAATTGAACGCAATCAAAAACTTAACTTAACGAACGAATTTTACAGATTCGGTAATAATGATGGCTGGCTACGCGGATGTAGTGGTGCTCCGACATCCCGAGTCTACTGCCATTGCGGTAAATGTTTTTAATTTTTTATTTTTGCTGTAATTCGAAAATATTTAAAAAAAAAATAGATGTATTATTTACTGTAAATGGTTCGTGTTCAGAGAGCTGCCCAACACTGTAGAAAACCTTTACTGAACGCCGGTGATGGCATTGGAGAACACCCGACTCAAGCGTTACTCGATATTTTCACGATAAGAGACGAGATCGGTACGGTGAATGGGTTGACAATCACCATGGTTGGGGATTTAAAACATGGAAGAACGGTCCATTCTCTCGCAAGGTCAGGAATTATTTGCGTGTAATTTTAAGAATCTATAATTAATCGAGTTAGAGCTGCTATTAAATATTCGCTTCGCGTTACAGATTATTGACTCTGTACAACGTTGAACTTCGTTACGTGTGCCCATCTGGCCTTGGTATGCCTGACCATGTTGTCAAGTACGTGTCCGATCACGGAATACGTCAGGACAATTTTACTACACTCGAAGAAGCTCTTCCCGACACTGATGTCCTTTACATGACACGCATTCAAGAAGAACGTTTCGCCTCTCAAGAGGAGTATAAAAAAGTATAAGCCGTCAATATGGTTATAAATTCTCTTCGATATCTGACATTGAATATTGCAGGCTTACGATAGGCTTTGATTTTAAAATTTGTTCTTAACTTGATAATTATTAATTGCGATATACGTTATACGATCTTGACCGAAA